CAGTACTCAGTGGCCGAGTGGATAACGCTATGGCGTTTGAAGCGAGGGTACTGAGTTCGAATCCCAGAGTGAACATCAACTCTGAGATGCGGGTACATCCAGCTGACGAGTCCCAAATAGGACGAAACGCGCGTCCTGGATTCCACTGCTAGCCACTATCCATCTCTGCTTACCATGCTTGTAAATTAAGGCTATATCGAGGCAATATGCACATATGCCAATTAGAGACAGACCAGTTGCAGTCCTAACAAATCGATGGGAAAATTCAAATAAATAATACTGAATGAATTTAATGATTAACATGATTTAATGGGCTGCTAACGTAGTTTTTCTAAAACATATAATGCGGTCATATAATATTATTCATAGTTTTAAGTGCATCCACACTTATTTGTTGTGACTAAGGTAATACTGTTTCTTCGCCAAATGAAACTTTCTATCAACAGATTTTCTGGAAATAAATCTGTGGAGTTCTAATCTCACCATATAAGTACTTGTTGTTCTGATGCTTATTTGAATTAAATAGTATTAGTATAATCTGAGGTTGTTTCAGTTATAATAAACATTCAGGTCTTCATTTCAACATAGATATACTGATTCAAACGATCTCATATCTGAAGAAGGTTATTAAGTATTACTCTCAGCCTCAGACAAGAAATACAAATTAGAAGAGGACAGGAGGTTTGGATTATGGGAATATGTCGTTTGTGGATAAAAAATTTGGGTTTAAATCGATGGTAAAGCTTCTGTTGTGCACAGATTCCGGATCCAAAATTCATTCTATTTGACTTTGTAGATAAATTTGAATGATGATTCTGGTGAGATCAGATGACGATTTGGCTATATGTTCACCAAAATGGGATTAACTGGTTGAAATAGTTTTGTAGCATTGAATTTCAATGCTAAGATTTGCATATCAAATTAGTATGATTCGTGCTTACAATACAAGTGATATTGATTGGAAACATTGACTGAACTTATCCTGATCAAAATGTTTAAAAAAGACACTACATTAAATATGCTTATATAGTACTTTATTATTATGAACATGTCCAGTACTCAAACAAAGTATTAAATTATAGTAGTGTTGATTAATAGTATGTTTCAGGATGTTCATTTTAGTCCAGTTCAGTCTCCTTCACTGGTAATACCTGGGTTTTACTGCGTCAAATTTTCATTTGTTAATCAGAACCAAGAATCAATGCTTTAAATTCCAGAGGATTATCTATCTAGGTACTGGGTGATAATAGCCAACTATTAATAAAATCGTGCTTTTTATTATCAGAACTTATTTCTTTACCATAGCTGATATTTTTGTGAATCATTTATTCAGTGAGTAATGTATACGCTCATCATACAAAATTTTACGAAAATTTCAATTTTTTTTTGTGGTAAAAATAGCGAAGTGTGTGTGCATTGAGTACAGGGAAAACGTTTTGCACTATTAAACTGAGCACTTTCTTATGAAAAAAATTCACATAAATAATATATAGTTGGCTGCTTCGTTTAGTTTCAAAACATTTTTTTCCATATAATTTTAGGACTGAATTTATTATTATGGTAATAAAACTGTTCCGTGCAGCCTTGGGTAGTAAGTATAAGTAGAATCTAGTGAACGTAAAAGAGAAAACGTGGATATCGACCATCACTCTCTGACTGACAAATTATGAGAGATGAGTTATCTGGAAACTGAAAAATCTGTCTAGTCATTAAAATCAAGATATATTAAACAATTATCCAGATATTCACACTAACTACCCAAGTATTCAGCTAAGCAGTTAAACGACTACTGACAAATATGACTTGAATATCAAATTAAGATTGAACGAACCTTATTTTTATGTTTGTCGTTATCAAATGAAGTGATGGTATGTTAATGCATTGGATTCTAAACCGTTGAGCTATAGATTCGAATCCTGGTTCATTTAGTTTTATTTTAGTCGTCTATTATCAATAGACATCATACAAAGTAAGGTCCTTAAGCTTGTACATGGTAAATAAGGGAATGAAAACCTTGAGTTTCTATTTTTTATTAGTCGATAGTACATTTAAGTGATTAAATTTTATCGTGGGTTTTTTTAACGTTGTTACTAGTACTACTGGCGTAGATAAATAAATGATCTGACTGTTGAAGTTGATTTCAACAAAGAGTCTTTTTTTTAACAAGTTAATACATTTCCAAATACTACACTCTTTGAATGAACATATTATTTATTTCAGTACATGAATACTTTGCTGAATAAAATTTATGCAAAATATCGAATTTTATTGAATAACGAAATAAGTAGATACATGTTTACAAATATTTAAATAATGGAAATGCATATCAAAGTATGATAATGAGCAAAAAACTGTTAGTGAAAAACTGATGGAAAACTAGTTCGATAGACAATATATATATATTGTCTTGAAAAGTACAACTATGGGTAACTAATATGTTAATTATATTTGACATCTGATTACATGATCTAGAAAATAATATAAACTGATCTGGAGAGAGAGAGAGTCGAAAAATTGGATTTTGCTTATAAGTAATATGTGGAGCTGGCGTGTCGTAATTTACTAATCATAACTACGAACGCTAAGGATCGATAGTAAGGAGTTTAGAACAATCGTTAGTAACCTTGAGTTTTCCTTTAAACTCGTAGTTAATCATTTGCTGTTCAACGAGTAACTTAACCATATTATTATATATGAATAGTTTGTTTATGAGTGTATATAAGTTCACATATTCACATGGCTAGCAGTTCTTTCTCATTTAATCTGTTAAGTAGGAATTTAAGTCGCCACCAAGTGACCATATTATCAATTGACCACATTATTCATTTCAGTATTTTATCAAACTGGTTGCATCATCGTAAAGTGTTGATGGTTAGAGAAAAATAGAACTATCCAAGTACAAAACTGCAAGTTTATAAAAGGTAGTTAAGATAAACTCTCTGGCTGTGTACGTCGCAATGAATAAAGTATTGATTACCTTGAATCATACTGTTTCACCTCGAACAATATAGTTAATAAAATAAAATTAGAAAACAAACCCATCAGTAATCTTGATGCATTAAAGTGAAAAATTATTTCCTATTATATTGATGAGAATATTTCTAATTAAACATCTAATCTAAGAGCTGTGCTTCACTGGTCATGTATGGTGATGTAAAGTGAATCCTGATTAAAACACCAGGCTGTCCAAAAGTTCTTTGATAAATAATCGGTTTCTTACTGAATCAATTAGCTAATTTGTGATAATAATGCAGATATAGTTTTGCTTCTGAAGTTTAACACAAGGAAAAATAATGTATATCTATTTATTGTATAGAAATAAATTTAATTTCATTTGCTTTCAATATAGTAATGGAATTTGTTTATCCCTATGTATTTAATTGCAGACTATAATGTCTGTTTAACTAGGTGAATGTAATCAAGAAAAGCAGTATAATGGTACCATTTGATCAAAGCGTGCTGTCGATATTTTCATTAAGAGTCTTTGCTCGATGTAATCCCTGCGTAACTTAGTGGGGACACATCTCATTCAATACTATTGTCATCTCAACTTCTAGAATATATTAAGTCTTGTAAAATAATGACTTCGTTATGTATAATATGAACGTGAGCTTAGATAGAAAATCAACACTTTATTGCATAATCGATTGCTCGAGGTTACTTTCTCACTTTGCCACAAAATAATACACTCATTTTTTGACTAATTGCATCACATCACACGTTTTTAATAAACTGATTTCTTCAATCAGAGGTGGATCAATTAATCGTGTATTAATTATAAATAGAATTATTTTGGGAATGGTTTTCATCATGCATCAGAACAATTAGAGAAATACTGATGATCAATAAGTACTGATTAGCTAACTTATACGGAATAGATAATGGAAACTATAAGATAATAATTTGTTCACTGAGATACCCATAAGTCTTCAATTTAATGTTTGCTTTCTCTTTTGTATCCATTGGCTGGAGGTTCTGATTAGTTTCATATGAAAATTGTAAAATAATCTTCGGAATTCACCGAAGTGCACGATAAATTTTACTCATGCAACATATGAAATGATACTTTGTTCATAGTTGACTGTTAATGTTTCCGATAGTTAATCAACGATTAAAATACCAATTATTTTAGACAGTTATTTCTTGTTTCTGGTTAATTTAAAATATTTTACTGTTACCTTTGTAATGTTTTAACATTCATTACCTGAAGGTAATATATCTTGAATGTTCCATACATTCGTCTCATTGTAGAAGAACTAAATCTAACTTTCAGCATTCTCTTTATATTGTGTAAGACAGATTTAAAGTAACAAAAGTTGTCTTTAGTAAAACTTGCTAAATCATAAAACACTCCATACTTTCATTATTTTACGATATGCACTTTTTCCGAACTTCCAAAATTCACAATCTATCATAATACAAATTATAAATTATTTAAATAAGTACTTTACAAGCGAAATAAAGATTTAAATCGACTTACTATTGTGGTGTGTGCTACTTATGTCAACATAAGTAGTATGTAACGCTAGTCAGTAATAGAATATCTGGCAGCAGAGGGTCGAGAAGATCGAAGAGGAAAGAACGGTAACAGAAAACAATGCAGGAACAAAATAGTCTGAGACAATTAATGAACATTTTGCAAATGGAGCATCGGAGTATTTATTTTTCTATTTTATTAAGCAACTCTACATTAGGTCCTCAGTTTATGTAAACAAACATAGTCAGTAGTTATACAGTTACTTGTTTTGACGTAAAACTAATTTAGTTGAATAACAACACCGTTTCTTTGATCTGTAATTTAGTCACTGTTGTTTCAAATCTGTTGATCATCTTAGTGAATATAGTATAAAATAGCGTTTACATCTACTTTAACTATCAGTTAACATGTAAAAGGACCTTGACAAATCAACCAATCAGTGGTTAGTTGTAGATTTAGTTACAGTGCATTTTATTTATTTATATCGTTACACATTGAAATAAATTAATTACCCAACTAAAAAATGTTGAAATCAGTCGCGAGTAAGTTAGTAGCTTACGGATTTTTATATTTACTGGATAAAATGTTTAAGTATATTATAGAAGAGCTTGGTCTTCAATATGAAAATAGAACTATTACATGTTTGAGAATGTTAGTTCTTTCCATGAATGACAGCCAAAGATGTTTATTCTTAATAAGCATTGAAACTTCAGCAGATCTTGTACTTTAAACCTAAATAACTTAAAATGTTTTAGTTACTTTTAAAATTTCGATGATAATTGTATATTAAGTTAATGAGTTAATTTATTGTATTGCTTTTTAAACAACACGTAACTGTAGCAAGATATGGTCAGTATGTTTTCTTTCATGGTATATACGATTAACCGAATCATGATATCGATAGTAATTTATGGGGACTAATGTGCATACATCTATAAGTGAAAGTCATAAAGTCAATATTTTATTGATCCGATTGTAGGTTTTCTTATTTTAAGTAGTATTGTGGTGTATGCTACTGTTGTCGATAGATATAAGTAGTATGTATCATCATTCGAAATTGAAATGTCTGGCGGTAGAAGATTAAGAAGATAGGAGAAAAGAGAACCAGAACAGAGAATGATTGGTGTGGAAGTGAAGAAACAATGAAGTTTGAGACGATTGATTGACATTTTGAAAATGAAGTGTTTACTGTATGGGTCTCAAATCTTACTAAGATATTTCGTAATTTTGTGTTGAAATACCTTTGGTTGTCTCAGTTTGTGTTTTTGTTCACTACATTTTGTCAAACAGCAGTAACAAAATAATTGATTCTTATGAAAACCCTGTAAGTATTTCGGTTCAAATTTATAATTTTCTCCGTTTAGTATCCACAAATACTTAAATGTTCATTTAAGTACGAGTTGCAAAGTATCAAGAGTTAAATTCTCTCATCAATATTGACTATTAACGCAAATTTATTCTGTCAGTGATGATTAGTCTACAGTCAATAAGTTATATATATATATTCCGAAAGTCTGACATAATTTTCACTTAAAATGAAGTATGAGAAGTAATATTTTAATAAAACCATGAATTCTCTGAAATTTTGATGGAGTTTTGTTTTCTGAGCTAGATGGTTTGGTCGTGGAGCTTTCATCGTCCTTCTGAACGATATCATCAGCACAAACCATCCAGCTCAGAGACTAAAGCCTCATCAAAATCAACCACCTCAGCTACAAATCTTTTCCACTATTCCCTGAAATTTTGAATTTGTAAAATCTCTTAGAAACTGAGGAGAATCATCTTCCTTATGTTTTCACAACCAAGATGATTTTATGGCAATATTGAAAATAATTCATGAGTTGCATAGCACTTTTTATTTAGGAAATAAAGAAAAAATTTAGACAATTAGTCTCTTAAAAACAATGAAACACAGGCTTAAATACTTTAGAAAGAGATCTGTTAGAATTGAATAGGAGTTTATACTAATGGAATTCTCTTTAAAGTACACTGTACTTATATGATACTTAATACATTTCATACTTATGAATAATGAATGAATATTTTGTAATTTATCAACTGTATATCAAATTACTTCTTATTCTACATCATAACTACTGGTCGTCTTTTCGTATCATATTTTGTAGCCCCTTACTATCCTATTCAAGATGAGAAACCAAAGCTTTTATATACATCTGCAAATTTCTTGGGTATACCCACTAACAGGGGACAACCAAAAATTGGTACATATCAAGGACCAGAACTTATTCGAAAATCTAATTTTTTCCAGCTTGTAGCTGAAGACGGTAAGACGATACATTGTATTGGTTTCTCGAAAAACACACATTTTAAAGATAGATGGATGGTGGCTGGCACTGAAATCCAGGACGCACGCATCTGTCTGTCCAATATTTCGAAGTTATTAACTTAAATATTAATTATTTTATCATTACTACTACTCAAGTCCTTACTATTAGTTTGGTCAGGTACATTAGTATTTAATACCAACAGTCAAAAAATAGAATGACTATTGTGGTTTGAAGCTAATGTTATAAACAATATATGTATATATGTAATTTATCTATACAAATCATTTTTACTCCGTTCGAATGTCCTGTTTTCTAGGGACTTTAAAAATGGGTAGATATACTTATTTATACTATGAAACTATTGGTGGTGTAAGGCATCACATATGTTGAACATTTTATAATCAAATAAATGACTTGATATAACTGAATTAAATGGTTATATGCAGGATAATTTAATATTGAAGACATTTTTACTCCACATTCATGAAATCACTGACTATATCACGTAGACTGAACATTAAGACATACAATTTAAGTTACAATGGAATTTAGACGCTGTTTTCTTTCTTTTTGTTATCTATCGTTGTGAGCTTTATATTTTAAAGATATTTATCGTATTTTTCTTGTAAGCATCATGCTAGTGGTTACTAACACAAAAGTAAAGTAGCTTTCTCTATTCATCAAAATTGAAGAATACGTATAAATTATATCATGGTTACTAGAAGTTGAGATTAAATAATTTCTGAATCTTAAGAAAAGAGTGAGAAAAAGGAAAATCCAGTGAAACAATATTATTTTCAAGGAATTGCTTTCAAGTTCAACATTGAAATGCTTCTCCGTTGTGTCATATGAATGATGAATGTGTATAATGTATTTTGTATACGGAACATTTTGTAGCTAATTCAGTATGACTGAATGGGTCTTTAAAAACTATTTATTCATCTGTTTTATCAAGGTGGTGTAGTAAATACGTTACATGTCTCATGTAATGTATTATGTTGAGTTGCTGAAAAACAAAGTACAACACTAGTGAAAGTTATTTCAAATAAAATAATTAACAGTAAATTTGATTTTTTTTTCAAAAATCAAACTCTAGGAATACAGTTAACTGACTGTGGAGATATCACACCTGTAGAGCTAAATGAAGCAGAGGATCCACAACGTTTCGGGATGAAATGGTCACGGAGTTTCTCATTGACCACTTTAAGAATAGCCGAACGTGTGGAGGAATTAATGAAACAGTCGAATAAACATACTATCGAATTAAGTGGATCAAAATCAACTCCATTAGTAATTGTTGGTGGTGATCATAGTATGGCGACTGGAACAATACTTGGGCATGCTAAAGCTAAACCAGATCTCTGTGTGTTATGGATTGATGCTCATGGTGACATAAATACACCGCTAAACTCAGCTTCTGGAAATATACACGGAATGCCTTTAAGTTTTCTAGTAAAAGAATTACAAGACCAAATACCGTGGTTGGACGACTTTGAAGGCATAAAACCTTGGTAAGTTTTTCGTATACATATGTTCTGAGGTATAAATGTTTTATCCTTCAAGCATAAAATTTTAAGCTATTTGTAATTTTTTCATTTTGTTTATAAAGTTAACAATTAAACTAGTCTATAGTGTTAAAATATAACCTAGATACATACTATCCTACTAGTACCTATCACGAAACAAAATCCATAGAGACTTCAAATCACTCAGATTGTAATCTGATCTATGAAATTCGTTATATTATTAAAGAGCTTTGCCATCACAGCATGATGTTACTTAGTAATGTAGATCAATGAACCTAACCTGGATTGAATCGAGGACCTTTAAACCTTACCGAAGTTTTATGGTTTGCATTTTGAACTGCAATTATTTCATGAGTGTTATATCGATTGAGTGCGTACGTGCCCTGTTAATATATGAACGTGACAAGACCGCCAATTAGAGAGCAGTGATTTATCGGTCAGAGCAATGATACACAAAAGCCGTATGAGTAGTTTTGAGTACTAATCAGTCCTGCTTTCTGTCTAGCCCAGTCAGTTAAGTCCAGAACACCAATAACAGCCTATGCAATATGTATCCTTGTATTTCAAACATACTGGATTTATATACCAAACAGAATGACCACATCGTACCATAAAATAGAAAATAATATTTGTACAAGATTTGGCCAAATGTGGCTGTGAATAGAGGGAAAGTAATCAACAGACTGATGATAACTCAGGAATGGTAAATTGTATAATAATTGTCTATAGGTCAAAATAAAGCTTATAATAAGAGAGAGACGAATATGGATAACTTTAGTTACTTAACACTTATACAATAGGAAATATACATATAAATAGTCCTAAGAGTTACCAGTCATAACATATAACATGTAAAAATGAGATTAATTAAGAAACACTCGAACACATTGATGATATCTGCATCTCTATTGAACAAATAATTTCTTTCAATTTATTTTCAAACTAGCAAAGTCAATCTATACAATCTATACATGCCCGAATAAAAAGTGTTTGACTTAGATTATACTACAATTTTACTTCTGTTTTCTCATCAGAACTGACTTAAATTCGTAATGTTGTAAAAACATGAAGCAAAACATTAATTTCAATCGTTGAGATCATGAGTCAATTGAAACTAGACCACCATGGACGCGCACTGCTGAGGAGTCCCATAATAGGACGAAACGGTCGTCCAGTGCTTCCAGGTTTTCCATAATGTTCTAGCTTCAATTGACTCATGATCTTAACTATATGAAATTACTAAAATCTCCACAAAAACCCCCTTCTGATACTAAACACATTAATATTAAATTCGAAACATCAATTATCTTCATAAACGTGACATTTTGCAACGATTTAAAATAATTCATTTAAAAAAATATAAATATTTGTCTTTTCCCCATTAGCAAACGTCACATGAATCAACGAGTTGTACATTACATTTGATAATTATTTTTTTTTGGTGTCAAAATTACATAATTTACAATGTTAAAACTTATATCCATGATATTATCTTATGATTATTTATCAGGTGATAATTGTATTGTGTCATAATGAATTCATTATTATTTCTGAAATATTAGTCTTTACCGTATAACTTCCTTATTTCAATAGTTCAATATTCAAGAATAAGTTAGTTATATGTTCAATGTGACCTAGTTGAATGTAGACTATTTTATTTATTGTTTATTATACAAATAATAAATAACAATTACTACTATGGTGATGTTGATGAAAAATTGTGAAATGATTTCTATAGAGAATAATTTATTGTTTTTTTATTTATTTCAACATATATACATTCACTTAATTATTAAATTAATTAAATTAATAAAACTATCACAATTTTAAAAAAAAACAAGACTGGTAAAGAGACTAATTTGGATAATTAACATTTTTATCATTCAAAGTATATTTAAGTATAGATATATTAAGATTAGTTGTAGATGATTATCAATAACGTTAAATAACACCGTAAGCAAAGATGGATAGTGACTAGCAGTGGAATCCAAGACGCGCGTTTCGTCCTATTTGGGACTCGTCAGCTGGATGTACCTGCATCTCAGAGTTGATGTTCACTCTGGGACTCGAAATGAGTATCTTCCGCTTCAAACGACATCGCGTTATCCACTCGGCCACTGAGTCCTGATAGTCACTTGCTTGTGCAATGGGGTGAAGTTTAAATTCAATAAGTATTACTTGTTTGAATCTTTCCATTGGTGTTTAGGACTGCAACTGGTCATTCTCTTATTGGCATATGTGCATACTGTACGTATTGCCTCGATAGCATGAACTCTGAGATGCAGGTACACCTAGCTGACGAGTCCCAATTAGGACGAAGCGCGCGTCTTGGATTCCACTGCTAGTCACTATCCATCTTTTCTTAAAATGCTTGTGAATTAAGGCTATATCGAGGCAATATGCACAATATGCATATATGCCAATTATAGACAGACCAGTTGCAGTCCTAACACATCAATGGGAGGATTCAAACAAACAATACTAAATGAACTTAAATAGCACAGTTCATAAATCATCAGACTATCCACTGAGGAAAAAATTAAAGATTCCCCGGTGATGCATTGGATTGCCGTGATACATGTCATAAATAAACTACCTAAGAATTACTGAACTGGCAAACTTAAAACAATCTTATATCACATGTTTGTTCTCTACATCTAATGTTACTATTTCTATCAAATTGATCATGCTTGTAAACTGAGGGTGAATTCTGTAATTATTATTTTCAGAATATATTCTGCTTATTATTATATTTGACTAGATTTTATAAATAATTTACAAAGAAAAGTCTATGGCTTTCATTCGACTATATTTTATATAACAATGAATAAACTTGATGAGTTTAGTATTAAATATAAATCATGATCTTCATCTAATTCTATTGTATTATTACGTAATATTATACAGAAACATTTATAGTTCTTATTTTATTATTCTAAGGAATTATTTCCACTTAAAAGCCTTAATTGTTATTTTACAATCATACATAGTGGAGACTAGAAATGTTTAAATCTTATACAATAAAGTATCTTGATACAATCAAAATTCGAATAAATGAATTACAACAGATGGATTTAAACAAAGACTTTACATACTACTTTTGAATGCCCTTAAAAATAACAATAGTGAAACTTTAATTTAAAAATAGTTTTCTCAACAACCTTAAGATTTAAATCTTCTATGGTTACGATCATGCTTAAGAATTTACTACTATCCAAATATCCATCATTTAAAACGTATTTGCTAAACCAACAGAAAAAGTATTCACTCAATTATTCATTTATACAACAAATAGATTTGAATGATTACAAGTTCTCTGAAAATCTTGATTATAATAACACTATCTGTTACTGATGTCTTTATAAAAATTATATTTTACGCATGTGTTTATCAGTTCATAAAAGTGAAGTAAAAAGATATGTCAGTCAGTCATAACGTAGAACTTCGTACGTACGTACATCAGTTCAAGTTGCCATACCACATTAGCATAGAGATGCAGTTGTCGATTCGAATTCCATAGTGGTAGAAGTAGTAAGAGTATAAGCATTATGTGAAAGATTAGGGTTTGAAGATGTTATTCAAGGAGTATAATCCAATGAAATATATTTAGAAAGAGATATGTACTAACTAATTAATAGCACATGTTCATCAATTAAAACTTTTCTAAGTGGCTATGAACTTATTCAACAAGTTTTATCAGCAATTAGATGATATATGAATATGTGACGGCAATTGTACATAATTCATGATTTAAATTAATTCAGTGGTATTAACTGAAATAGTACTTGACACGTTTACTGAAACATTTTATCTTTTTATGAAAAACACAGATCTAGAAAATATTGATAATTCTTGTCTTTTTGGGTATTTAGTAAAAAGAAAAGTCTATTGTACTAAACACAAATTAATGGCGTCTTATATTAGGTAACAATGCATTGTGAACGAACTTGGTATACAAATAAATTCAGGTTGATTTATATATATATATATATATATATATATATATATATATATATATATATATATATATATAGGGAGAGAGAGGACGGAAGAGATGAACAAATATTCAAGAAACTTGACCAAGAAGCTCCCATTCAAAGAAAAAACACAATTAATCATTTGGATGATAATTTTCAGCATAAAAACTAACGCCGATTAAATAACCAGTGGAAACCAAGTAGTATTAAGCAACTGTTTTGTTCTTGTTTAAAAATTCTTCACTAATGAGCAAAAATCGTGTATTTCACACGGGACTTTCATATTTTGTCGAGCCTAAAATAACTTTATTATAATAAAAATCGTTGGTCGGTATTTTCAACTTTAATCAATTTGTGACGGTGCTGTAACTTGTCAATTATTGTTTTGTCTATTTTAAATTGGTGTATACTTAAAATTTACTTGGAATTCTTTTTTCTCATTTTACAGTCTCAACGCCAGTAATATTGCCTATATTGGTTTGCGGGATTTAGACGCTCATGAAACGTAAGTAAACTACTAGAAGAGCAAAGCATTAAGAGGAAATAATTATCTGTTTATAAGCTAGTATGAGAAACATTTATCCATAACAACGCTATCAGGTTGTGTATAAACGTGGACTCAATATATATATATATATATATATATATATATATATATTACAATCACTGTCAATTACTTGAGATTTATAGATTTTTTGATTCATTTGTGCTGATATCTAAGGCCATCATTCCAGTGGTTCTTTCATGCCAAACTAATGCTACAATGACATTTATAGAAAACATGAAATCATCTTCCATTTTTCACTCCTAAATACCATATCTCAAAGCTATAGAGAAGCAGATAGCAGATTGATATGCTATTAAATCACTATTTGAGAAAGAAATGCAGTTGTCATTGGTAGCTAGAGCTGTTCAAACTGTTGAATGTTAAATATATCCTATATATATCCTTATTGGTTCAACTTCCCTATTCTGCTCATTTGAATTGCTGTAGCTACTTTAAATAAATGAACTGGTTTTTGCACTCTCATGTTTCAATCTTCAGTCGTAAACTGTATGATAGTGCAGTTAAACACTACAGTATATTTTGTATTTGTCAAGTTTAAAAAGCAATATTAAGCATTTCCAAATGTTTGCTCAAATTATTGGAATGACTTTGTCCACTTTATTTTTCAGTCTCTTATGATTACTTTGTAAATTATCTCTACCTCTATTAAGATTTCAGCGAGATTATAATTAATGGAAGAGCCAATTACGTTTAAGATGTCGTATCTTAAATATTGGCTCAAAATTTATTTATTTATATGGCTAGATAGTATTTTGGTATCATATCTGTATCGGTGCATCATGAAACCCCTAACTCTAATTCCGAACCCTATCTCCTAACCCTAAGTCCCGATTCTGATTTTTCGCACCGATTTATATCTCTCTATTAACAGTGGTAAGTAGACGGATTTTCTCAAGGTCACTTCAGAGACGCTCAGAGGTAGTCCGTAAATTATAATCTCACAAAATATTCTCCTATAAAGAATACATTTTCAGTTAGGTGAAAAGAATCTATATTCAACATTTGAGGACAGAAGTTGACATTGAATAGCATAATCGCAACTTCAAATAAAAATTTGCTGTAAGATATTATACGAATCGACTAGTTCAACAAAAATGTATAGAATAGGACAATATATTTTCATAATGATCCTTTAACTTTGGATACTGCTACATAACCTTTAAATAGGAGGGGTCAAGGTTAACCCTTAAGTTAATAAAAATGATCAATGTAGTGTGCCACTAATCAAATTTTTATTATTCTTTATGGTGAAGAGCAAAACGTTCATTAAACAATTACTTATCCGAACCTAAAAAGCGATTAAGTTTTATATGTATCCAGTATTGCTTAGACAACAATTGAATATGGATCCTAGAAATTAATGATGAAGAAGTTCGTTTTTAAGCCAAATTGCTAAGCTGAGTGATTCACCCTTTCAAGAAATCGAAAGTACATTGAAAATATGAACGAACAAAATGACTTATCTTTAACTCTATTTATACTTATCATTTTTTATAAGCATTTATTTTTGACTTGGTTACATTTCTTATTTATGTAATTACATTTTAACATTAAATTAGTAACGATAAATTCAATATACTTATGTCACTGAATAAACTGGTAATTTAAGAGATTTAGGTATAATCTGCTATTACATATTATAGAAGGGGTTTTGTGGAGATTTAGTATTTATCATTGTTGAAAGCGTGAGTCAATTGAAGCTAGACCACCATGGAAAACCTGGAAACACTGGACGGCCGTTTCGTCCTATTATGGGACTCCTCAGCAGTGCGCAGTGAGAAGCAGTGACCAGTGGAGTTCAAAACCACGTCTGTTGTGAGATAGGAACTCACTGAAGACAATTGGTGAATGGTTGCTCAACTTCGTGGATCAGTTGAAGTTAGACATTAACACCGTTGGATGCCAGCTCAGTGGTCTATCGGTTAAGGGCTTCGGCTCGAGACTGGTAGGTCCTGGGTTCGAATCTCGCTCGCGAGAGCAGGTTCGTGGATGCGCACTGCTGAGGAGTCCCATAATAGGACGAAACGGCCGTCCAGTGTTTCCAGGTTTTCCATGGTGCTCTAGCTTCAATTGACTCACGCTTTCAACAATGATAAATATTACATATTAAACGAATTCATACAAAACGTTTTTTGAATAGGCTAATGATCAGTGTAAATCTATACTGAGAAACGGCTTTTCTTATGAAGGATATACTGATGAAGTGGTTGCAAATAATTTTAGTTTATCAGTATAGGGTTGTGGAGATTGTTGATTTTAGATTGATATCATTAATGGATCGATATTAGACCACCATTGATAAGCTTTAAGCACTTAACGAACGTCTTGTTCTAGTATGGAACTTTTCAGCAGTGCGAATCCACCATCACACACTCGAGGCTCGAAACTCGCGTGCGATCGCTTAACCTCTAGACCACTGAGTCGGAATCCAACGGTGTTAAAGTCTAACTACAACCAATCCACGATATTGAGCGCCTATCCACCATTGTCTTCAGTGATTAACTGCCTCACAACAGACACAGTTGAACTAAAACGAAACAGTCATCCAGTGCTTCCAGGTTTTCAATGGTGTTCTAACATCGATCCATTCATGATACCAGTCTTACTAATAACATAAGCTTAGAACATAATTCCATTGTAATGATGGTGATTATCTGAGTAAACTTTTACAATAGTCGGTGAATTAACTGTGGTTAAGATTTATATTTTCTTTCGTTAAAATATCAGAATATCCTCGTGCAATGTTTGTTACTAATTATATAGTTGACTTAATAAACATTGGTTAATAATAATTCTTTTTTAGTGACTACATCTGAGGTAGAATTTTTAGAGTTCCACTATTACGTTATTACATCCGAGGTTAAAAAGCTAAAGAAAAAAAGGAATTATATATCTATAAGATTTTATGATATCAATATTACAATAAGAAGTGTAGGGCGATGGAATAACTGACCTCCTGGTTTGAACTTAATGAATAAAATGTTCCCAGAAGGATCTGGCTGTTCTTTGTTTACTTCGGTAAATCACTTCAAATCAGAAGTCTAACAGCTGCTCAGCGGATTTTTATTTAAGATAGAGGAGAAGATTTGTAGCTCAGATGGATGATTTTGTTTGAATTTCATTCTCTTAGCTGGGTGGTTTGATCGTGGATTTTTCACCATACTACGGCACACTTTCAGCTCAGAAAACTGAGGGAAAAATATCTAGTGAATATACTTCGAATGAACGGTCACCCACGCAACTTCATCAAGAAATATCAATCCAGCCTATCAACAAAAACGAAATAAAATGCAGAAACTAGCAAACAGATCATCCTACCATTTATAAAAAACACCAGCAATTACAGCGAGATTATTGAAGCTATATAGGATAGATGTATTACACAAGCCAGCAAATTCACTTTAATCAACGTTGTACAAATCAAGGGACAAAATGATATTATCTACAAAAGTAACTGTTCCATTTGCGAAAAACACTATGTTGGACAAATTAAACGCCCTTTTCACCTTCTATATGAACATCAATTAGCGGCTAAACGTCATGATATATTTTCATTTATATCATTGTATGTGGACAACTATAGACACACATTCGACTGGAAAAATGTTGAAATCCTGGAGTGTAGGCATACTAAGAACAACAGGGAATTTTTTAGAAGCTTGACACTCAGATTAATCCGGAATCAACAAACACTTCTAAATCGATCCAATCTATCAACTTATCAGAAAAACGATGTACATATATAAAACAAAGAACAAGATCAAAAAGAAACACCAACAAAATAAAGAGGCGGATAATTATAAGCTAAAAGTCAACAATAGCCAATCAAGGTCGAAACTGACAGGACAATCTGTGAATCATATCTGAAAAAATTCGAACACTTTCCTTCTACTGAATTTTATGCTCCACGACCAAACAACTCATCTTAGAGAACGAAACTCTAATAAAAGCATGTTATTTTCATTGTCTCTTCAGATAATATCATTCCATAGTATGAATTGCCTTCAAACATATTTAATGCAATTTACAAAACATCTGATATTATTATTCTTATTCTTGCAGACATGATATTAGAAAACATGGCATCGCTTATTTTACAATGCTGGATGTTGATCGAATGGGGATAGAGGCCGTTATTAAAGAAGCATTGCAAGCAGTAAATCCAAGGTTATTGTTTTAACTATATTAAATAGCCAAATGTATATAATATATTCCTCTGAAATTTTATCAAAAGCTTGACATTCAGTTAAACATCCATCTCTAAAATGAAGTTTATTATTCAAATTATTTACCTGTGGTTTTGATGATGTGTCTTGTACTCTCACCAAATCGTAGTCTATTGGTGGAAGTGTAAATTATGAGTAATCATTTTTGTTAAAAATTCACGCAACATTTACTCAAATATGATATGAAGATATAGAGTTTCACGAACTATCCTAGAATAGAAGATGGAATATTGTGTTTGGAATAATCATTTTTCCGGACGTCGTCTACAGCTGGCGTGTGTTTGTTAGATTGACAGGTTATTGGCTGTTCGTTTACATTTATTAATAACGGTATCATTTATGCTGAGAACAAATATCACCTAAAGATAAGGAAAATTCCTGAAATCACCACCGTGAAATGATAAATTTCCTGTTTATTACAATAGGACTCATCACTCACAAAACACATGCCTTTATACTACATATATTTAGATCCTGCGTATTTTTTGATATCTTATTCAAGTTCATCCAACTGATGTGTAGTGATTTGGAGTTGTTTAGAAGACAACTCGATTCCAAAATAATCTGTATTTTCAGACTATTTCTTAATTATTAATGTGACCGAGAAGGAAAAAAACGTGTTTGGGTCCATATACATTATTCTGTATTCCTATCAAGGTTTTGACAATTATCGCTTCTGAGTTCCCAATTTAATCTGTATTTGTAGAACCTTAGGTTTGAAATTAATAAAAAATTACTAATTGTAAACTGTCGTCAAAGAAAAGACTTTCTCAATCGACTCGAATGGAATCATGGATGACAGATTTCAGTGAAAGTAAATCAATTTACTTTTCATTGAGCACTAGTAGTAGTATGCTTGGGGTCAACAATTATTTTGTACTGATCGATTTACAGTGTCCGTCTTAATCCCATTACTAGCTGATTACGTAAATTATATCCAAATTAATTATTACTATTATTTGAATTTCATCAGCGCCTACATCATACTGAAAGCACTGTGTACTTTATTATTTTCAGACTAGAAAAAGCTATTCATTTAAGTTTTGATATAGATGCACTGGATCCGTTAGTAGCACCGAGTACTGGTACTGCTGTTCCAGGTGGTTTAACATTACGTGAAGGTTTGAGAATATGTGAAGAAGTTTCAGCGACAGGTAGTTTCTTACCTTTATATATTACTTGCTATGAAAGTACGATTGCTGTGAATTATATTTTTTGTTGTACTCATTAGTAATATGTCTGAAAATGTTTACGTAGTATTTATGTAAATTGGAGGGAACTAAGATATAGGTAAACTTAATTGAGATCAATAACTACCGTGGCGAATCATCAACAGTTTTACTTAATTTCTATTTAGTAGTCAGAAAATTATCCAATGTCTTATTGGTATCCTTCATTATCTTGTGAAGCGGAAATAGAAAGTAGCACAATCGTTAAAGAACTAAAGTATTAACCCTTTTGCAACAGGTTTGGTATCTTTGTGGTGTGTGCTATTGTTATCGATAGATATAAGTAGTATGTATCATCATTCGAAAGTAAGATGCCCGATTGTGGAAAATTAAGAAGATAGGTGAAAAGAGAACCAGAACAGAGAATGATTGGTGTGGAAGTGAAGAAACAATGAAGTTTGAGACGATTGATTGACATTTTGCAAATGAAGTATTTACTGTATAGATCTCATATTTTACCAAAATATTTTGTAATTTTGTGTTGAAATACATTTGGTTGTTGTAGCTTGTGTTCTCGTTCACTAAATTGTCTCAACTTCTAAGTATAAAGCAATTTAATATCCTCATAAAAACTGGTTTACTTTATAGTTGTGGACGTGAACAGATAGTCAGCTACTCAGGTCTCTTTAATCAACATCTCATTCGATTTTCAAACATTCGTCTCTGTAGAAAATTCAAACAGTAATTGAAAGAGTATGAACTTTGTGAATAATTTCTAACCTTGCCATTGTGTCTGTGTAAATTTAAGCTAGCAGAGATGGGAATCGAACAAAGGAACATCTGTGGTCTCAGATTGTGTATATTAAATAAAACTTCGTTGATGGAATCCAGAAAAAAAGTGATTTAGCTTTTAGTTTTGAACCCGTTGGGAAAACGAACTATCTAGCTGGTAAACTATACAGATATTCTATCATAGAGATACGAGCATAATTATGCTTACATTGCAGAATAGTGAAGTAACCATTGCTAAGAATAAATGCAGGTTTCTAAGTTGCCATATATTTGTATTGGATATGACTGCTGAATTATGTGTTAAGCAGTAATTATCACCACCTGACGTAATGTGCTACGCTTAGTAGACCATGAGTAAGCTGGAAGAAAACTTAAAATGTCTAGATAAAAACATTGGTCAGTAACTTATTGATCCCTGTTCCATACCATGCAGAGAGACATTAGTCTTATAGTCAGTTTTAATGATAATCATAATGACCTATGATTTTAAATTGTATGGTTTAAATTCATTACCACTTGCAAAGTCACATTCATTCTGTATCTTTCTGAACATATTCGTTTCATAATCATTCCATACTTTCCATTCTTTGGTTAGATTTATTTATTGCCGACTGTATATCTTGCGTTTAACTTCTCATTAATGCCAATATTATTACATATAGTGCATTAATTTTCATTCTGTTAATTTATTCGTCATAATGCTGATATGAAGTATAGTTATTTGCACTGGTATAAACTTTTATATTTATTGGATTTTTTTATTTCACTTTTTTACAGGAAAACTTTCTGTAGTTGAGTTGGCTGAATTAAATCCTTTATTAGGATCTCAGGAAGATGTTTTAAAAACTCAATCATCTGCTGTTCATATTTTAAGAGCATGTTTAGGCCATTGTCGTTCGGGTCATTTACCATTCAAAGTTCGCAATTTAACTGACCAAGGTATTATGAGTCGAGCGGTACATATGCAGACAAAACAATAATCGTTCTTTATGCTCTGACAGCTACTGGTTATCTTTTGTTATTATGATAATACAAGACATTTATCAATATTATTTGTCACTATTTTTAATAATAAATCAATACATAACATTTCAATGATTCGCGTATTGTTTAGAAATATTATATTATTTGATTGTCGTGTTATTACTTCTAAATTTACTTACATTGTCTGAAGAAAACTCATACAGCTTAACTATTTTTCACTTATCAGTAAAGGGTTGAGGAACTCGTCGAGTTCCACTGAAATGATCAACTAGTCAATGTTAAACTACTACTGAAAACCGATAGGTACTGGACGGTCGTCTTATATTGATATAAGGCTTGTCAGTAGTGTGCATCCATTGCACCATAAACAGGGTAACCAAAGAGATAGTATCCAAGACTTTGATAGACGGAGATTAAAAACTCTTCACTGAATCAAATGACAAAGAAACTGACATGAATTTAGTTACATCCACTTTGATGATGGATAATTATCCTAAGTACTTTATTAAAAGAATAATTAAGAAAGGAGGCCGAAAGAACAACTTAAAAGATAAACCAAAAGAATGGGTCAACACGGTTGTGATCGTATATTGTGAAGGAATTTCAGAAGAGATCAGAAGGGTCCTAAATCATAACACTATAAAAGTATTCTTTCGAACAAATAATGTTTTAAACTAGTAAGAGTCAGAAACTCATTACGAAAGAAAGAACAACAAATTAGGGTGTGTGAGATCAGAGATAACTAGGATGAGTTTACCGAACGAAAGCTAAATTTACTCAAAATTCAATTGCTGAGAATTTTACAATTATAATTTCCTCATTAATGTCAAAATTTTATTTTTGAAACTTGGTAAACACTACTTTTTTCCTAAAATAAATGATTTCTTATTGTATGCAAATGGAACATTAACTTAATTTCACTGTCAGAAGGGGGTTTTGTGGAGATGTCAGTAATTTTATATAGTTGAGATCATGAGTTAATTGAAGTTAGACCACCATTGAAAACCTGGAAGCACCGGACGGCCGTTTCGTCCCATTGTGGGACTCCTCAGCAGTGCGCATCCAGGATCTCGCCTCGCGAGATTCGAAACCAGGACCTATCAGTTTCGCGCCACAGCACTTAACCGATAGACCACTGAGACGGTCGGCATCCAACGGTGTTAATGTCTAACTTCAACCAATCCACGAAATTGAGCAACCATTCATCAATATCTTCAGTGAGCTGATATCTCCCAACAGACCTGGTTGAGACTGATGGGTCCTGGGTTCAAATCTCGCGGGGTGAGATCGTGGATGCGCACTGCTGAGGAGTCCCACAATAGGACGAAACGGCTGTCCAGTGCTTCCAGGTTTTCAATGGTGGTCTAACTTCAGTTGATTCATGATCTCAACTAGATTAATTTTACTGTGTTTAAAACATTACTGTTAATGAATGCTCAACAATTACTCATGCATTGGATAGACAGGTTAATGAAATGATTAAATCTATGATAAGTTTCCTATCCAGAATGTTGATTTTTCTATTCATTTCATAAAATCTAGGACAATTAATACAATTTAATCTTCTAGAATTTTCATTTTGAAAAAGGGTGAATAACTTATCTCAGTCGAACATTTATGCTACACATTTCAACATAATTTGACCAGGTTATTCCAATGTAGCAAATGATTGTCGCACTAGTGGTACTTACTTACTTACTTTCGCCTGTTACTCCCAATGGAGCATAGGCCGCCGACCAGCTTTCTCCAACCCACTCTGTCCTGGGCCTTCTTTTCTAGTTCTATCCAATGTTTGTTCATTCTTCTCATGTCTGTCTCCATTTCTCGGCGTAATGTGTTCTTTGGTCTTCCTCTTCTCCTTCGGCCTTCAGGATTCCATGTGAGGGCTTGTCTTGTGACACAATTGAGTGATTTCCTCAAAGTGTGTCCTATCCACATCCAGCGCTTCTTCCTGATTTCTTACTCCACTGAAGTCTGGTTTGTTGTCTCCCACTGTAGGTTGTTGCTGATAGTGTCTGGCCATTGGATCCGAAGTATCTTGCGTAAACGACTGTTAATAAACACTTGTATCTTCTGGATAATGGCTTTCGTAGTTCTCCACGTCTCCGCCCCATACAGAAGAACTGTCTTCACATTTGTATTGAAAATTCTGACCTTGGTGTTGGTTGACAATTATTTTGAGCTCCATATGTTCATCAGTTGTAAGTATGCTGCTCTCGCTTTACCGATCCTCGCCCTCATATCTGCATCTGATCCACTGTGTTCATCAATGATGCTGCCCAGATACTTAAAGGTTTCCGCATCTTCCAAAGCTTCTCCGTCAAGTGTAATTTGATTGGTGCATATTGTGTTGTATCGGAGAGTCTTGATTTTCCTTTTGTTTATATTGAGACCTACTGCTGCTGAGGCTGCTGCCACAATGGTCGTTTTCTGCTGCATTTGTTGTTGCGTTTGTGATAGAAGAGCCAGATCATCCGCGAAGTCTAAGTCGTCAAGCTGCATCCTGCCTGTCCACTGTATTCCGTGATTTCCTCCAGATGTTGACGTCTTCATGATCCAGTCGATCACCAGGAGAAAGAGAAACGGTGAGAGTAAGCAACCTTGCCTAACACCAGTCCTTACTTCAAACGTGTCGGTGAGTTGTCCTCCGTGGACGATTTGGCAGTTTAGTCCATCATAGGAGTTCCGTATGATATTTACTATCTTCTCAGGCACGCCGTAGTGTCGAAGAAGCCTCCATAGTGTCGTCCTGTCCACACTATCAAATGCCTTCTCGTAGTCGATGAAGTTGATGTGGAGTGATGAGTTCCATTCGATTGGTTGTTCCACAATGATACGTAGAGTTGCGATTTGATCTGTGCACGATCTATCCTTATGAAATCCAGCTTGTTGATCTCGAAGTTGGGCGTCCACAGAATCCTTAATCCTGTTTAACAATACTCTGTTGAAGACTTTTCCTGGTATTGAGAGGAGAGTGATGCCCCTGTAGTTGTCGCACTTGCTAAGATCGCCTTTCTTTGGTATCTTGATCAGAAGTCCTTTTTTCCAATCTGTTGGTACTTGTTCTTCGTCCCAAATCTTACTGAAGAGGATGTGGAGTATCTTGGCAGTTGCTGTTACATTTGCTTTCAGTGCCTCTGCCGGGATGTTGTCTGGTCCCGCTGCTGTGCTGCTCTTGATTTGTCTAATGACCATGCTGATCTCTTTAGTTGTTGGTGGGCCAATATCGATTGGAAGGTCCGTGGGTGCTGCTTCGATGTTGGGTGGGTTCAGTGGAGCTGGTCGATTCAAGAGTTCTTTGAAGTGTTCTACCCACCTGTTTCGTTGTTCTTCAATTTCGGTGATTACTTTGCCTTCCTTGCTTTTCATTGGTCTTTCTGGCTTACGGTGATTGCCAGCAAGTTTCTTTGTTGTATCATACAGTTGTCTCATGTTTCCCTCTCTTGCAGCCTTTTCTGCTGTCATCGCTAAATCTTCCACATATTTAAGTTTGTCGGTTCTGATGCTCCTCTTCACTTGCTTGTTTGCCTCTGTGTATTCGGCTTGTGCCTTGGCTTTTTCCGCTCTGGTTCGGCTGGTGTTGATTGCTGCCTTCTCGTTCCTCCTTTTTTCAATTTTATCCAGTGTACCAACAGTGATCCATTCCTTGTGATGGTGCTTCTTTTGGCCCAGAACGTCTTGACACGTTGAAACGATTGCCTCCTTGATACCTTTCCAGTTGCTCTCCATGGTAGTCCCCTCTCCATTGAGTAGATCATAAATGGCCTGGAACCTGTTGCTGAGGTCTATGTTGAATTTGTTGAGTTTGTCAGCATCTCGAAGAAAGGCCGTATTAAACTTTTGTGATGTTGTCCGCGTCGTTGTCCAGTGCTTCTTAAGTTTTAGTTTCATCCTGGCGACCAGCAAATGATGATCGGATGCTATATCAGCTCCTCTCCTGGTTCTCACATCCTCCATCGTCCTCCTGAACGTTTTGTTGATGCAGATATGGTCGATTTGATTCTGTGTAGTGTGATCCGGTGAAATCCAAGTGGCTTTGTGTATGTTTTTGTGTGGGAATATGGTGCCACCTATGACCAGTTTATTGAAGGCACATAGGTTTGCAAATCTCTCACCATTTTCGTTCCTTTCTCTCAGTCCATGTCGTCCCATAACGTCTTCGTATCCAGTGTTGTCCTTTCCAACCTTGGCATTGAGATCTCCCATCAGAATTGTCAGGTCTTTGGTTGGGCACTTCTCGAAGATCGACTGCAGCCTATCGTAGAATTGGTCTTTAGCGTCTTCATCGTAGTCGTTGGTCGGTGCATAGCATTGGATGACGTTCATTGTAATGCCCTCTCTCTTTGTTTTGAAGGAGGCTTTGATGATCCTTGGTCCATGAGATTCCCATCCAATAAGTGCATTTTGTGCTTTTCTGGACAGCATCAATGCAACTCCTTGTGTATGTGGGTCATTTTCTTCTTCATGATCGGAGTATAACAGAAGTTCTCCTGAAGACAGTCGTTGTTGTCCAACCTGCGTCCAATGTGTTTCGCTGATTCCAAGAACCTCCAGGTTGTATTTTCTCATTTCTGCAGCAATTTGGAAGACTCTTCCGGTCTCCCACATTGTCCGGACATTCTATGTACCTATAAAAATTTTCGCTCTGGTTGTAAGAAAGTGCATCGGCCTCATGACTTCCGAATGAACTCGGCTTTCATCATGAGACGTCATAATTATTCCTTCAACTCGGAGGGCAGAGTTTGAATGGTTTGAATGATTTTTTCTGGTTAGCGTTTTTTAGCGAGTTGATTTTCTACGGGATGGGGTCGCTAACCCCATGCCCAACCCTCCTCCTTTACCCGGGCTTGGGACCGGCAGTAACCCCCAGAGGAGCTACAGGCGGAGTTGACGATAAAAAGACAAAATAGTAATTTTTTTGTCAAATTACTTTATACTGATAGGTAGTTTATATGTATACAGTTCGATAGTGATCAGTTTAAGGAACACTGAAAACTGAAGCTATTTCTTCCTCTTAAATAATTTCAACCTAAGAAAAAAAATACTTATTTCTTTGCTAATTAATTTTAGTACTCCCTAGTCAGTGTTAAATAATGGTGAAAGTTCTCTAAAGATCATTAGATTTATCCAACCACATTCTTAGTGAGTGAATAATGGCTTGTAATTTTCAATTCTGAATTGACCTAAGGATATTTGATAAGATGAGAAAAATAATTTCGTAACAATTATTTCAAACACAGTACAAATTATGCTACGAATTATGTTTGTTCAGATAAAAAATTTGTCAGAAAATACATCAAATGGAACTATGATTTTGGACACAAATCTTTTTAGTGTAGTTAGATGACACTGTTAGGAATGCATGAGTTAACAGTTATGTTCATTGATGAAAAATAAAACGGTGAAGATAATATATGAATATGGATAACAAGCTTTGTCAATAAATAAATTTGTATTTAGTGTCTTCAACATTCTTAATATTTTTAAGAAATTAACTAATAATTCTAATCTCATTTCAGTCTAGTTATAAAGATGACAAAAAATATGTTGAAGTTGAACTTAACAATGAATCAGTTCGATCTGTTGTATAATTAACATATAATGTAATAACTCTTATCCTGTTTCAAACACATAGAAGAATTTATGGTAAAATCTGTACAAAATACCAGGAATTTGATGTTCAGGATAATGGTACATACAGTTTACGGTATTCCAGGATCAGTTTTTCACATAGTTCTTAGTTATGAAGTGTTTGACTCCCGAAATCAAATGTACATTAATTTAATATGCATAAGTTTCACCAGAATCTCATATGTGTCCAATTATTTTTATAAATATTACGTCCTTGATCTGTCTACTCACTTTCGTGCAGAGGATAACTTGTCTAATGTAGATTAAGACCTTGACGAGATAGGCTGACTTGCTTAACCTTGAGGCCAGTATGCGTAAGTTCGAAGTGTGGGTAGAGAGACGAAAGCTATTCTATCAGCTGATTACCTGACAGGCACGCGTGCGAGAGAGAAGACAAGTGAACTGGAACACTACTTCATTTATTTCCAATTCCGATCTGGCACCCGATTTCCCAGATTAGTGTAAAAGATACATGAATAAATAGATGACTAATCAGACCACAACGTACAACAATTACGAAAGTACAATTATGTCCAAAACTGGGGGATTAGAGTAGAAAATAGAGTACAAAAGATTACGTTTAAATTACAGTACCTTTGGAACAGAAAAGTCTATGACAGTGAATCATACATCAAACGAAAGCTTATGATCTGTAAAATAGACTAGGGACAAAAGTAAATGTTACTGTTTTACAAGCTTTGAATTGAATGATTTAACGTCCCCAAAATAGCTTCTACAGTTTGTTAAGGCTTCTTGTTTCGCTGTTCACATCAATAAACGTTATCCATTTTATTAAAAATAGAATAAGAAAAGGTGTCTCATTGACGAACTTCTGAAAACATGATATTAGTGATAAAATTAGCAATAATGGTTTTATTTATTCAATGAATTAGACTTGTTATATAAAGTACATTTTTATTTTAGATCATTAAAGCAATAAAATCAGATTAAATGAAACGTATTTTATGTTCTTTTTAGTGTTATATGTTACCGTAACATTTACCGATAAACATCTATGAATGTTCATGGACAAAATCAGAGTTGTTAAATTGACAATGTAGTTTTCATAGTTTAAACGTGTGTTTAACATATAATACATACATCGAATTTGCCCAGTTATTAATCTCGGGAATGAACCTGTTTTAAAATGATTAACCTAAAACTATATATTTCACAGGTCACACAAATCTTTAATCAATCAAGTCTTAAATAATTGTGAAACTTTTTAAAATATTTTAACTTTAAATTCTATGCTACTTATTATATCATTTAGTAAGCATGAAGATTTTAAATAAAATTATTGTTTTCAAGTAAAATGTCTTGATTAGTTTCAGAATGACATTATTTATCAGTAACCATTAACTTTTTATATTTCTTATTTTATGATATACATTTAAGTACGAAATGTTCTTTTAATGGTTATTACTGAAGTCTAATGGCAGTGCAATAGAAATATGACTTGAAATCCAATAAGTTAGAGATGATCAGAGCTGAATACGTTAATTAAGTTTACTGTTTTGATAATTATTTTGTAGTGGAATATCAAAATGAAGACAAAATTATTATTTATAATGTCTATATAACAATCCGCTAATAGTGATATGTATCACGTAGGAAACAAACTATTTCGGAAGATTCCAGGTCTGTAATTTTTCATGCTCTATTAGAGATGTAAGCAAATAGAACATGGAATGTTGAAGACTCGTGAATCTATCCAGAACTGTTATTTCAGATAATTATTTCTATTACAGATATTCACTTCTTATTCATTTTATTCAGTATATATGTGAATGTTCAATACTTGATGTGAATACTCTTACGTATTCTCATCTTATTTTGCCATTCATTTTCTTTATATTCGTCGAATGGACGATTTTATTTTACATTACTTTCATAGATTATTACTTATTAATAACTTTACGACTACTGCATAACCGATCATCAATACTTGAAGACATTGGATAGTTCATGATAACTGTTAGGTTACGCATTATTTCTCTATTTTATCACAGGCTAATGCACGAAATTAACTATAAACACGATTGAATAGCTTAAGTAAAGAATGTCTTTATTTTGTTTAACTTCCTGAATATTTTAGTTTGTGTTATTATGAACGAATAATTAGTGAAGGGATAACAATTTACTGTTAAGTGCAAAATTACTAGGGGCCTTCACAAAATATGAAAACTATACATTAAATATAGAATTTGCATATCTTTCATCAGTTGTCCTTTACATGCTTCATCATTCTTTCAGTTCTGTTATTATTGCGATTTCCTTCTGTTTACCATTCTATTCTCTTCAACTAAATCTTCCAAATCTTCTGTTAGCATACATTACACTTTCGATTGATGCCACATATTACTTATATCTGTTAACATAAATAGCATACACCACAGTCTGTTATTATCGAATTTAATAAGATTTCTAATCACTTTCATTGGTCAAATATCATTCACATGAACATTGAAATCGAATGTAAAGAATAAATAGTTTAATCCAATCAATTGTTACATTTTGTTCTTTAAGACCATCATTATTAAATCGTTGAGATATAGATAACATTGATAAAATAAACTCTGTGAGCATAATTACTTTTATCACTACTATAAAATATGCCTAAAATCAATCCCTTATATCTTCCTTAAATGTAATTTACAAAAACACTTTTTGAATCTTTGACTTTAACAAAATGGATGAAATGGTTTAGAAAGAAATATTTCGCAAAGACGGGAATGATAATTACCTCAAGAATATTTATGAACACGAAAACTGACATTTGTTAGCAATGAAAGAGAAACTTTAGAATTCATTTTTCTGGTTGAATAAAGGTATACCGCAAGTACGTTTGCAAAGTTTCATTTATCGTACAACCGAATAGACGCATTTTAGGGCACAAACTAATGTTATTATTTTATGATCCTGTTTTGAATGTAATTGACTATAATGAATCTACCTTAAGAGAAAGTAAGTTTGTTAAGTGTTAAATTAAGCAGTAAACATTTATGTGATTAGTTTTTGCATTCAGCTAATCAACGTTTGATTATACGTGTTTAAAATATTACAATTCTATTACTGTATCTATCTATTTTTATAAGCTATCAACCAATTAATATTGAGTTGTGATCACCAACCAATCACACAATAAGAGTAATGGTTAAATGGTAACGTACATCTGAGTAAATATTTGGTTTGATTATAACCCTGAACATTTGATTTAATAAACAAATACCTTAGATTGTCTATATTTATTATATATGTGCTTTTAAAATCATCAACACGATCTTTGCCGTTGTTACCACAGTCATTATTATCATTATCTTTATTGTTTACTGTGATGTTCTACTCACGTACTTACATAAACAGGAAACGAAGAAATTTAAAGATCACTTTTGCCTTTATACTATTCTTAATAATTTTTTTAAATATCAATTATTCAAAAAAATCATTCTTATCAGTTAATCTAACTGATATAAGCAATTATAACTTGATCAGAAAATATGCACAGTCATTCAGTGGACATGAGAATTTAATTTCTGACATTGATTATGTTATCCGTAGTACTGAAAAACGAAAAAATGTAATAATAAATTCAAAAAGACATTTAGGTTCTATTGATACAAAACTATTTGATGAACAAGATTTTATACTGAAAAAGAAATTCAATATGAATAATTTAATCTTATTTCCATTCGAAACGGATAATCCATACGAGGATGATAGGATATTGGCGCAAATGAGTTATGTTCCTGTACAAGTGTTAGAAGTAAGCATATCATACATTAACAATAGTTACATAGTTGTTTATGTCTTAAGTTATATAAAATGAATGTCACCTTTATTTATCTATTATACAGTGTCTATTATTATGAAATGATGAAATCTGTCATTCAACTATGAAGTATTCAGAAGTTATTTACATTCAATGTTGTATGGCTATTGGATTAGACGTTTTTCTGATCCTCTAATGTTCAAGGAGATTCTGAGCCAAGAATTAAAAAAAGGATTAATGGACGTCAGTATCAGTTTTAATTACCTGGAATCACATTTCACGGAAAACGTTAATAAACATTAGTGGAGAAGTGTTTCTCTTAGATATATAAAATAATACTTAGATTGGTTCCTCATGAAAAACATCGGAATAAAACGCTTAGACTAGTTTGTTGGGTGAAACATTAAAGCTAATGAATTTTAATCTTTCAGATATTTAAAAATGTTATTTTACATAGTAGTCCCTTTATGACCCTTAAATCTATTACCAGTTTAGTAATAATATCAATAACTGCCATAAACCGCTCACATTTGTGTAAACTCACTTCCATCGTATCATGCTTATTCGATACACGACAGCACAAAAATAACTTTAAGCTTAATAACGTATACCTAATTCCTAAACACTATCACATATTTTCTTTCATTTCACTAATTTTGAGAGTTTTTGTTAAGCATTTTGTAGTAGTTCATCCACTTTATACTTCTTTTCATGAGGATAAATGTTGTTATTTAGTGTTTGTTTACTTAAACTCGTTATTCTGTGATACAACAACTTTTGTCAAACTTTCGATATCGCTTATTCCTAATTTGTCTATTCTTTTTATGACAGTCATTAACTTATTGTTAAATCATTTTTGAATTGAAAACTGAATAATCATAGATTTTATTTAAAAAAATAGAAAGGTGTTAAATTTTCAGCAAACTATACTCACATTTGTATACACTCTTATTCAAATCTCCTGATGAGATTTTTTCAAACAGTTGAGTTTTCCTTACTAGTTTTTTTGGAAGTCGAATTTTTCTTTAAAAACGCTGAGAAACATGTAAGTAGTTGATTGTTTTCAGTACTACATTGAGTTTTTTGTTTTAGAATATACTAAAACATTATTGTCATGCATATATATTACGGTGGTTTACAGATCAAATATAATTCTTAAAATGCATAAAGACAAAACATCTGGGTGTTAGGCTCTTACCTTCAAACAGCATTGAATAAATTTAGAATAAAGTTCGCTAATTAACAGTTAGCCTTGTTTCGATAAGTCACGACAAATCTATCCATGTCTAATTGGTAAAATAAACAGAATAGATGGATTGTACTTTTCAGCAATAAATTTCATCAACAAATATTTCAGAACAAAATGCTTAAGATCTGTTTGTAAATTAGAATTTGGTTAAGTGATATTTTATTTTGAATTTGTAATAGATCTAAACTTCAGTATAATTGAGAGATCGTATAATCGAACTGGGTTTCTTCTAATCAAATACTAATGGGATGAGTAATAACAGTAGTTTAATTTGTGAACAAACAAGATTTACACAAGTAGCTATTTACCAGCGTTTACTAGGTTTCTTCATTAAAAAAGAAATTTGTTTTTTGTTATTTATCAAAGCAGTGAAGGCTTATTACAATGTTAAAGGCTAATTTTATTCGGTATACAAGATTAGTAGATAATCTATAAAATTAATGTTTTCAGTTACGTAACCCATAGTTGACTAAACGTTACAACAGCCTCCCTTAAACTGAGAACTGTTTCACTACTTAAGGTACATAATTTCCAAATTGCCATTAAGGATAATCTATCAAGTTTTTGATGCAAACGTTTATACTCAAAATATTTTGTAGCTTATAATAACTGTCATTTTATTTGCTGCTTCTATAAACCAACTCTATTTTCAGCATATATTGACTTGGTTTATTTACATACAATCAAAAGACAATAGACTAGTAAAATTAAGTTGAAAATATATATTAAGAATTATTCACAATTATTCAGATGTAATTAAATAACAGGGCCTATGTCAAACAAGCAACCAGTGGGTTATTTAAAAAACATTTTATCATGGTACTAAGTGTAAAACCATACTGTTAATTGCTATTTTCTAATAGATACAATTTTCTAAGTTTTCATGGTTTGTTGATTTGTCAGCATATAACCATTAATTCATTTACATCAATGAATAATCATTAAACGAAACATTACTAAATACTGATCTTAATGCATGTTCTTATCAAGAAAATGAATTTAATCTCTGGTGTAATACGCAAGTCAAGCATCTAATTAACTGTTCAACAGCCTAAATGAATAGTATTTTTAATGATTATAGGATACTAAATCGAAGGCTGGTTACCTTACGTATTAGTAGTTAACTTTCACACATATTCCTTTTTTAGAGGAAAGAAATAAATCTACATAATTTCTCATTTGAATTATGGATCAGGGGTTCAGCTCTTCAATTAGTTGATGTTTAAGCATTAGGAGCAAGTTCAAACTTTACTAAATCTCCTTTTGTTTGAATAACCGTATAGAATCAATAGTTCATACAGAAACAATATAACTTAAAATTCAGTACCTAAATCTTTACATGGTATGTAACCTTAGTATTATAAGAGCCAACAATATACACCATCGTTATTGATTGATTATATGATTTTTACTAAATTACTATCTTGTTTTGAGTGGTTCGTTTTTTTGGTATAGTTGTTATTTTGTCCTTTTGTTTGTTATCTTGTCCTTTGAAAATTATCATCATTGACCTAAGAACAACAAAAAGTATTAGAAGACTATTATTTACTGTTTATTTTTATCATATAGACATTTCTTTAATCATACAATATTACTGAGATAAATTATCTTGATTTGTCATAGTATACTTTTTCAGTTAAGGGTTCTGGCTCAAGACTGGTAGGTCCTGGGTTCGAATCTCGAGAGTGCGGGATCGTGGATGCGCACTGATGAGGGGTCCCATAGTAAGACGAAACGGTCATCCAATGCTTGTAGGTTTTCCATGGTGGTCTAGCTTCAATTGACTCATGATTTCGACTATGAAAATACTTTTTGAAATGTTGTAATAATTCTTATCTATTACTCTTTCGTATTAAACATTATCATAATACTTCGAACTTGCTACAAGTATTTTATCCAATGGTATAACAATGAATTGCAGATTACAATAGAACGTACATATAATAAATGTTAGTTAGTAAGGTTTGTCTTTTTTGTTTATGGTTAAGAGACTAATAAGTGAAGTTCAAAAATAAAAAAAATTATTTTTGAGAAGAATCATGGTTCCAAATGATTGTAATTGTCTTTTAATATTTTATGATCAATATATCGATTTTTCACTTGTTACGAAAGGAAATACTATAGATGAGATATCTTTCAAAAAATAAAATGAATACGCATTAATCTTTGTAACTTAGATACTACTTTATGTTGTATGATATACTTTCATCAAAATTATCTAATAAAAAAATACTGATAAACTCTTAAAAAATGTAGAATAATCAATCAATTCTAAGTGAATATCAGTAAATGTTGTACTGAGTTAACAATTAATGTAAACACAAGTTCATATACTTACAAATTAAGTGATAGTTCTGAATTTATTACATTGGATACTATCAAGAAATCTCATATCAAGACAAAACACCTATTCAATAATCTTTAAAATTTTATAATTTCTCAAGCTACCTCAATCGATAAAAAAGATCATCCATAAATAATAAATACATTGAGATAATTATCAAAAGGGGTTTTTGTGGAGGTTTCAGTATTTTCATAGTTGAAAGCATGAGTCAATTGAGACTGGTAGGTCCTGGGTTCGAATCTTGTGAGGCGAGATCATGGATGCGCAATGCTGAGGAGTCCCACAATAAGACGAAACGGCCGTCCAGTGCTTCCAGGTTTTCCTTGATGGTCTAACTTCAATTGACTCATACTTTCAACTATGAAAACATTGAGATTAATTATTTGTAGTATATTCTGATCTCTTCTTCACTTTCTATTTGTAGACAGATAAACATAGAAAATGTCTGAACATGTATTTCATGAAAATGTATTTCAAGATTAAATAATGTTAGTGATTTAGGGAAATGGAATTGATTCAATCAAACATTTCTCAATATAATTTAAAATAGTAGTTTAATTTCTATTATTTATGTACACAAAAAAAAAAAATAAATTGGTATGAATAAAAAGAACGAGAGTCTCAAAGTGACATATTTTCATGAAGTATATATTTAACGGATTATTTTAAAAAGTATATGCAGATAGATAATAAAATATAAAGAAAAACAAATAGTACTATTCACTTGGTATTGTTTGTTTGAATCTTCCCATTGATGTTTAGGACTGCAATTGATCAGTCACTTATTGGCACATGTGCATACTGTGCGAATTGTCTTGATATAGCCTTAATTCACAAGCATTATAAGCAAAGATAGATGGTGGCTAGTAGTGGAATCCAGGATGCGCGTTTCGCCCCATTTTGGACTCCTCAGCTGAATTTACCTGCATCTCAGAGTTGATGTTCACTCTGGGACTCGCACCTAGTACCTTTCACTTCAAACGTTATCTCGTTATCTACTCAGCTACTGGGTCCTATAAACAGTACTATGTTTTGGTCTACTGAGCATATAAAAGACAACTTTTCAGTTATTTGATTTATCAGATCTCTGCATGCGATACTCAATTAAACAATGAAGCAAGCCCACATGTATCGATACATGTGGGTCAACCAGTTTTTATTAGTTTTCAACAAATAAACTTTGGTTTTTCCAGTTTATTAATAACAAAATGTTTTTTTAATGATAATTTTTTTAAATTTTTCAAAGAGTATTATATAATTTCTTATCGATTTTATTAGTACATGATTTTTAATAATTATTGACTACAACCAAACTACCACTTAGATAAAGATTTTACAACAAAATAACTTTTACCATAGAACCATTAAAAAGTGTGGGACACTGAACATCTAGTACGTTCT